AGTGTTTAATTAATTATTAATTTTATTGGAGCTCAGGATTATAGGTCCATATGTCCCCGCGTCGTCCTTGTAATTCTACCAGATACAAAGGACAAAATAGGAATTTTAGAATTACGGAATTCTAAAATTAAATACTCAAAAAATAATTAATTATTATTTAAATAATGTGATTATTTAAATTTGAATTTGAACACATCTAGATTTATCCATTTAAAACTTATTTGATAAGTTGTTCAATTTTAGAATTCAAATTAATTTAAGTTTGACTTAAATTAGAATTTGAATTTGAGTCAAAATTAGACTACAGGATAAAGGATGATTTTTCTCTTCATTCCCTATCTAAATTGGCGCCACACACACAGGGTTAGGAAACCCTGAGGGTGGCCGGCCACATTAGAGATAAGGGGAAGGGATTTTCAGTTCGAAATTCAAAATTGGAGATAGGGATTTGATCCTGTTTTGAAGTTTGACTTCTACTCTTTAAATATGAGAATGATAAAAAATTGTGGACACAATTTTTGAAACAATTATTCAGCCCTAAAAGTTGGTGGCCGAGTTTCTCAATAGCAAAAGCGAGAGAAAATCTTTTTCTCTAAAAATTTCACATCGTGCATGCGTTGGTGTTTGTAGAAATTTGAGTGTTTAAGAAACCTGTTTTGTCTCACGTGTGCCCACACACACGTCTACGTAGAATCAAGAAATTGACGTGGAAGACTTTGGTATTCTAAACACAAAGATTGGAGCAATGACTGTTCGTGGTCAAAGAATTTAAGTTATCATCCGAGTCAGCTTCCAGGTATTTTTCCGGATTAAATTCTTGATGTAAATTAATGTGATTAATTTATTCGTGCATAAATTAATATAATCTATAGAGTATTCCAAAAGTTTTATGAAAATTTTTGTTATACACGATCCGCCTTCCCCCACGCTTCCGCACCCGAATTCGATTCGGGAACCAGCAACAGTAACATCTAACTTTTTTGCTACAGTAAAAAGCTCTCACATAAAGTCACATCTCAATTCAAATTAAAAACTCGAGTCACCGAACTGAACGGATTATAAGATTTTCTTTAATTTTCTTTTCTCCATGGATTGTGATTTTACTAGGTCAAGGTGGCTATAATGTTAGAGGAGATCGTATTAATCCTACACACGAAAAGGAAGTTTCGTGTGTGTGGGATTAATTTTAGACCTTATTTTCCATGAACAAATCTGTTTTGATGTTTTCAATTTCATATCCTCTCTAAGAATAGAAAAACACTATTGTTAGTGAGTTGAAGCATAGCTTTCTTCTCTTTTTTATGCATGATTTGCAAAGCAGGTTGTCAATGATACCAGTATCCGACACCGCGGATATCTCCGGCTACGATACCAATATCCGGCAGAGATATCCGCTGCTACCCGACCACAAAACCAATATCCAATCAAGATATCCGGTAGTATCTGGCGGACAACTGCCAGTATTAGTAGTAGTAGTCACCAACAGCTACCAACCACTGAAGCCAACTGAATCACTGGTAGTTAGCCAAGATACCGATTAGTATCCGCCAAGATACTAGTTACCGGTCAGTAACCACTGACTTACCGGCTGGTAACCACCAAAATTGATCGGAAACCACCGTTGCCGGCAGCCAGCAACCGGAAAACCAAATCACAGAAAGGGAAAATCACAAAAACCACATTTCGAATCACATTCGAACCAAAAACCATTTCAAGAGTAAAATAAACATTGCTCAAATAGGAAGCACACTTTAAATCCAACACAAAAACTTCACAAATCCAAAATCTACAAAATTTAAAAAAAACAGAAAAAAGGTTCAATCGTCTGCACAACCAACGAAGCAGGAGGGGAGAGCGTAGACCTTCTCGCGCTCTGTGACTTGGCCTCCTAGCTCAAGCTCCTCACGACGAGGCCTTCTTCCCCATGGCTACCAGACGTCACGGACCTATCTGCAACAAGCGTGAGATCGCTGGAGAATCTCTAGTACAGATGAGTGAAGCCAACCGGTCTAGTATATGATCTATCATCGGTGACATGGGAAGGAAGGAGCAGAGACAGAACAATGAGAAAGGTTGCAGATCTCTTCTCAGAAACGTAAGGTGTGGGCAACATGGCGAGGCACGCTCGGCGGCGCGTTGGTCAGAATAGAAGAAGGGGAGAGAGACTCAGTGGGGAAGTATAGTCGGTGGTATTAGTTTAGGGAGAAATTTTGACAAAAGAGACCGGAAGAAAATAGAAATTAGGGATCTATAACATTTTTTTATAACAAAAAACCTTTCACGTGTATCTTACATGTTAAAAAATGGACCTCATTTTAATTTATGTGTACATTTTAATTTATGTGTATATAGATTGTTTAAAAAAAAAATTTCCTCTCTCAAAACTGAACAAATCCTTCCTTCTTCTTCTTTCTTACCGACCGACCTTTTCTTTTCTTTTTTTTTCTTTTTCCTTCCCTTCCTTCCCCGTGGCTGCCCAGACCCCCTTTCCTTTCTCTCCTCGGGTTCTCACGGCATCTCTTTCTTCTTTTTATCCTTCGACGCTGGCCACTTCCCCTCCGGCATCTCTGTCTCCCGCCGGGCCACTTCCCCTCCGGGATCTCTGTCTCCTGCCGGCCATTTTTCTCTCTCTCTCCCTCACCGACCGGTCCCTTCTGAACGCCGACCGACCACCCCAACGCTGACCGACCTTCCCCAAACGCCGACCGACCCTCACGAACGCCGACCGACCCTCCAAAACTCTGACCCAACCCTTTCAAACGCCGACCCCGTAAGTTGTATATAAAATGTTATTTTGCTTGTTGTAAAATGTATACAAATTGTTGTTTTGCTTGTAAAATGTATTCAACAGATTATTTAAGTACAATGGTTATTCAACCGATTTGAACTTACTGCAATAATATCTGCTGCAACGGAGTTTTGGAATGCAGCCCTTTGGGGTGCAATGCAGGCGCTGGACAAGCGCTGCAACGCTCAAAATGAGGTTATTTTGGCATTGCAATGTTTTCATTATTGGCGTTGCAATGCTTTTACACTTATTATATTCAACAGGTTATTTTGGCTTTGGGGAAGCTTATAATTATGGGAAAATGCTGCCTAAATTTTTAGACCATGATGTTGTTTTTTTTTGGAAAGCTTCGAACCAGTTCCGAAGATTGGAGAAACATTTAATTTATAAAAGAGAAAAAAAATTGGGAAAAAATGGAAAAACCAAGAACATACCAAAACAAACCAAGAACTGACCGAACAGACCAAGAACCGACCGACCAGACCAATAACCGACCGAACAGACCAAGAACATACCAAAAACCAACCGACCAGATCAAGAACAGACCAATAGCCGACCGAACAGACTAAGAACAGACCAAGAACCGACCGACCATATCAAGAACAGACCATTAACCGACCGAACAGACTAAGAACCGACCGACTAGACTAAGAACATACCAAGAACAACTCTAAAAAAACATTAAAAATATATATTTTTACATA